TTTTTGTATTTTGAAGGTTTTTTCTGTTGGCAGTAGCTCCACTCTTCAGAGAAGCTTTCTTTTTCTTGAGACAAGAGCTCTGGCCCTTGTTAGTATCTTATTTGATAAGTTTTAGATTCTTTTTGTCGAGATTATGATTGTTGTTTTTATTCACCTTTTCCGATCTGATGTGAACAGGAAAGAGTTTTTTTTCTTACTATATGATTTTAAATATATATTGTAAATAAAAAAGCTTAGATTTATTTGTAATTTACTGTAATAATTAACCAATCAAAAATATATAATTTTTAATTAATATTACAATACTAAAAACTTCATATAATAAAGCTTAAAAACAATAAATATATGCAAAAAAAATTATTATTTATATTTAAAGAATAGATAAATATATATAAAGTAAAATAAATATGATATTTATTATTAATAAACTTAACTCATTACATTTAAAATCTTAACTATTAGAGGTATGATAACCTAATAAAGTAGTCAGATTGTCAAATCTCTAAGTGGTAGATTGAATGTTCAAATTTTATCAATAATAAAAATTTGAATAATCATCTATATAATATTTATATTATGATAATGTATATTAATAATTGGGTTAAAAGACTTGTAATAACAGTTATATTAGTATAACTAGCAGATTATAAGTATCTATATAAGTATGACATTATATAGAAAAATGCAAACTGACAAATCAAATAGTATAAACATTAGATAGATTCTTGTAATTGCGTGACTTTGTTAAAATTAAGTAACAAGAAGTTCATTTAAGAAGACTCAAGTAAAGAAATAAACAAATCTTTAATAGTGCTACTATAAAGACTAATTTGAGAAAATAGATATCAAGGTTGTAATACCCAGTCATAGTATTTAGATAGACAAGAATTTCTGATTTGGAAAAGACTCAGAAACCACTAACCAGATTGCCAGAATGAACTAGAGAAAAAAGATATTGGACTAACTTAATATACTAATAGACTAGTTGTAGTTCTATACAAATTATTTGAAATGAAAATTTGGTAAAAGGCAGAAATATACTAAAGTACTGAGATTATGCTGTAAAATAGATACTAAAGTCTGTATAAACTCTACAAAAGCATAGTATTTTAATAGTTAAGTCCTAATCACAAGTGTTAGTTTTTTTATAATAATATCAGATTAGTTGTAAAAATAGATACAGAAAGCTTTAGAAGATTTATCTCAAAGATAAAATAGTTCTAAAATTAAGATGATAATTTGGGCATCTAAATATAATCCAGTAATATTAATACAGGTTGCAGGTTCAGAGAGTTTAAAGTAGAACACCTAAGCAAGAGTATTAGATATAACAATTGGTAAAAAAGCTTTAAGCAAACTTCTTAAATAAGTAATATAAAAAAGTTATATATATATCTAATTGTATGCTTTTTTGTAATAGTTCATTGAATTATATTACTAAAAAAAGTTATTAATAAAGTTAAAAGACCAAAGAAGTTATCTTAACATCAAAAAAAAATCTTAATTATTAATTTATAATTAACAAATCTAAATACATGACTAAATTTAATCTTAAATCCAGATCTTTTATTATTAAAAAGTTTTAACTTATACAAATTAATAATTAGAAATAAGTTTATTTAAATTTAATATAATAAAATAATTTTAGATAAAAATATTTACAGTTATTTTTAGTATATAATATAATTTAGTTTGGTCTAATAAATAGTAAACATATATTATCTTTTAATTAAGTTTATAAGACTACTATATAAAAATAAAGTTTGTAGTAATTTTTTATTAGTAAAATATTGTGTTCCTAAAAAATATTTTAAAAAATATATAATTAAGTTACTTAGACAATTGATTTATATCAATCAATTAGATGAATATTTTTTTACAAATAAGATACTATATAGTATACTGATAATTATAAATAATATAACAAAAAAAAATTTTATTAGATTACAATATTTTATATAATTCTAAATTTTTTTTAAATTTTTTTAAATTTTATTTACAAATACTATCTTTTTTAAATATCAAAATTTTAATAGTTATTATTATTGCTAATATAAATATAATTATTCATTTATTAGAAATTATATATTGTATTATTTTTGATTATTTTTAACAAAGATTAGATTATATAAGTTGTACTATATAAATATAAATAAAAATGTATGTTTTATTATTAATTTTACATCTTATATAATGTTAAAATTAATTACTAATGAGAATGACAATCCTAGTATAGTGATTAGATTGTTATTCTTTAAGTAATAGGTCTAAGATTTAAATCTCACTTATAATAAAATTTTAAAATTATATCTGCATTATGATAACTGTCTTCTATTAATTAGTTAACCTTACGTGGTTGTAACTCAGATACATCAAGTCAGGTCCTATCAATATTGGAAGTTTAAAGTATTTATACAAAATGTAATATTATATATATATAGAAAAATGTATAACTAGTATTGAATAAGACTTTGATGCAAACTTATAATAAGACCACCAGATATAGAAGATTACAAAATCAAGATGACAGAAACCCACTTAGAAATTTTTAAATAAAGAAGTGACATGAACTTTTAATAGTACTATCAGACTAGTTAAAGCCTATAAAACACTTTTATAGTAACTAAAAGTTAAACTAAACATTAAATATATATAGAAGAACATATAACTAACTAGGCTATTGGACTTACCAGAGAAAAAGAATAAAGAAGTATATCGTACTAGCTATCTGAATTGGTATTCTAAGAGAGACTGATGATTCTGAGTTGCAACTAGTAAGAAATAATAAAGAAAATACTAGAAAGATAAGTACTAGAATTCTAGTGAACTTTATAAAGATAAAAATAGTATAACATAATAGTTAAATAAGTAATCTCTGTAACTGCAAGTGTTAGATAACTATAATGTATTATATAAAACTAGGTTAGTATGTGTAGAATATATAGGCTCTAATAAGTTTTCTGTCAAGGATAAAATAGTCCTAAGGGTACTAATTAGCATCAAAAACTTGAATGAGTATAACCTTAAAGATGTTCTTGTAATACAAAGAAAATTGCATATGCAGAAGATTTAAATAGTTAAGACACTTAGTTGGTTTGCAGATATGACATCTAGTGTAGAACTTATATAATAATATATAAGTGAACTATTTAAATTAGACACCAAAAGTGCATATATGGCTAGTTGTAATCTTCAATATAAGATAACCTTTGATGACATGTTATGTTTTATATACTTGAATAAAAATATCACATTTTGAAGATAGAAACTTTAATATTAAAAAAAAACTTTAATTACTAATCAAATTAAAAAAAAAAGAACTATACAACTTCTGCTTAATAAGCTTAAATATTACTATTTTTTTAAAAAAGATTTGTTACAAAAGTAGTAAATCAGGATTATTATATTAATTTTTTTATAATTTTGTAAATTAAAAAATATAGTTAACAAATTATATATTTAAAGATTTAGAAAGAATTAATCATCTAATTTTATTAGATAAACTAACACAAAGAAGAATAATAAATTTTATCATCTCTTATTATTATTCTATTATTATTGAAATGAAAACCTATTTAAAAATAAATAAAGATATTAAAATTTCAATGACTATTATTTATTAAATACTTCAAAACTATGATTTGGTATTAGAATTAAAAAAAAATCATATTTAAATGATAGTTATTAAAATCACAACTCATTTTTATAATAAAATAAGAAAATTAGACTATTAATGATTGGTCTAAAATAATTTAATCAAATGAATCAAGGTTTCAAATTTTTAGATTAGATAGTAAACAATACTATTAGAAATATTATAATGAACTTTTAAATTAGTTTTATATTAAACTTATTGTAAAATTTGACAATAAATTAATTATAATTTGAGATTGTTTTATTTCTTATATCAATAATTATTGTAAGATTGATGGTATAATAGATAGTGAACTGTATCATTAAATACTTTATAAAGATTTGATATAAATGATCAAGAATTATAAATTTAAAGTCAGTGAATTATTTTTCAATAAGATGAAATATTTTATCATATGACAACCTTAACAGAACATTAATTTAAAAGAAATAAAGTAAAGTTTTTTGATTGGTCTTCTTAATTACCTGATCTTAACCCTATTAAATATTTGTGAAATAAAGTTAATAATTAACTTAGAGACCTTCCTGATCAAATTTCAAGTAAAAAGAACCTTTAGAAAAAAATTTAAATGATTTGACAGGCAATTAATATTGAAACTTATATAAGATTAATTCATTCAATATCAGAATGAATCCGTGATGTAATTAGAGCCCAGGTAGTTACACCAGATGGTGACAGCCAAAAATTATTAGAAAAAAAAATAATAAAATTTTTTTTATTTTACAATCGTATTGCTGTTAAAATGAACAAAAATAATGCAACACGTAAATTGATCACTAAATTTTTAAATCTTTTTTTTATTAATGATACGCCCGGAATTGCGTGAGATAATACAATCCAACTAAAATTTTTTTTTTATTGATCGCCAGTGTACTTGATAATCTATCACGAATACCTTGCTCACGTGAAATCCAAGACTTTTACTCAAAACACGTCGTTTTAAACGCTAAAAACTTAATGTAAGGACTTCATATTAAATACAACTATGGTCAAAATCGTCTCTAATTAAAGTTCGCGGAAGTATTCGATCCCAAACGCTTATATGAAAAATACGCTTCTAAATTACAATTTTGCAAAATTTCAGATAAACCTAATTAGGCCGCACAACTTTAATATCTTGATACGTAACATGAAGCTTCTGAAAGATCCGGCTGGCCGGATATATAAATTTTATAAAAAAAAAACCACCCGGTTATTACAGCTGTTTTCATAAATTTTGGAAAATCTGGCAAATATTCGGTCGGTCAATTTTTGCCAGATTTTCAGAATTTATGAAAACAGTGTAGTTGGCTAGTATAATTTTATCAAAGTAGATAATTATTCAACAACCCAGCTATCACCCGAGATGCCGCCATCTAAAACTTCTGACAAAAATTTGGAATCTGAAAGTACGTTACAAGCCATCATTCTTGCTGATAGCTTTAATGAACGTTTCCGTCCCATAACCCATGATAAGCCACGAGTGAGATATTTCTGTGATTAGAGATTATTTCATACCACACCATTATAACTTCGCCTCAACCTTGTAGTGTCTTTTATCACTTTGCAACACCACTCATTGAATATATCCTTAGAGCATCTTGCAGTTGCTGGCGTGCAAAATAATAAAAGATTATATCAAGTAAGTTTGGCATTTTATATAATCTTAGCGATCGTATTCTTAGCATTATATA